ATATATGAAATTTGAAGTTCAAAGATTTATGCTCTCAAAAATTTCGACAATATGATTTTGTAGGGACACATCGGGTGATATATTAAACGTTATATTAAGGTCCAAGAGTATTTTTTACTATATTTGTGAATGTCTTTTTTTTCGCAAGTAATATTAAAAAATACGATTATATATTTTGTATGTTTCTGAACATGTTTCTTCTGATATAAAAATTATTTCTTTACGATATAAAATCTTCAATTCCTCTTTTATCTCGCCTTTTTTTTTATTCTACTTAATTTCATCATCTTTTTACTTTTCTTATCTATCGTCTTTTTCACGTTATATTCTATTTTTCAAATCTTGTTTTCTTTCTTTTCATTTTAGCTTCACTTGTCTTTTACGAACTTATTCAACAAATATTATTACAATCTCATTGGTTTCTCATTCCTAAAGCTCTCTCTTTCTCACTATTTTCCCTTAATGTTCACCCCAAAAAACACCAATTGTTCGATTATCTTTTTTAGCTTCCTCACCATATGTTCATTTCCTCTTCTATTTGGCTTTAGGCAAAATCAAAGCTTCGTAATCTACTTTTGCTCTTCTCCTCTTGTGTTAACCTTGTTGTATCTTTGCTTTATTCACTACTCACCTTGCCATCTTTCGATCGTCTCCCCAAGCAACATATAAAAAAACACATTGGATATTTGATCAACAAGTTCTACAAATAGTTGTAAGTTTCATTTTCTTTTTCGAAAACAAAATAAGTAATAGATATATTTGTTTTCAAATAAACGAACGATCGAGTAGAATGAGATCTAAGAACCATTTTCATAAGAGAGTGAAAAGATAGAGAATTAAGATTTAGAAATGCTAAAGAAGAAAACATGGAATAGATGATGAAGAATAAATTAATTTTTCAAACAATACTTAAAAGGTTCTTATAGTTTTTCGATTAAAACTTGGTTGTATTAGTCTTTCGAAACAATGCTAAAGATTTGAAAACTAAACTAGGTATTTAGCATAATACGTTCTAGTTCTGTATGTAATAGTATAAGTTTAAATTATAATGCAATTTAGTCTTAATTTTTTAATGTAATTTGACACTTAAACAAGTAAAATTATCTTTGAAGTTTCATTTTTTAATAATTTTTTAAACAAGTAGGTACAATTTCTTTCTTCCTTGGATGTAGTAACTCTCTTAATCAAGCAGTTGTACTTACAATTCCATCTATACATATATCAATTACAAAATTGTTTAATCAAGACTACAACAACACTTGAAAGTACACGAGTAACAACTTCCTACAAAATTTTCGTACTGGTTACAAAAGTCGAAGCCGTCTTATCTGTTGCACAAGAGATGTTCCTTTACATCTCCTTATCGAGGATATCTCGCATCATTTGTATTGGAATCAGCCCCTCCGTCCGGATTGCATCTTTGGTCGGATCTGGACTAATAAAAAAAAGGGTTGGCAAACCGCGAACCTGAGACACGAGAAGATAAATATGTTTCCTCATTTGACTCAGATTCTAAGAAGAATTTTAATTAGAAATTGAAGTTCGTAAAAAAAAAAAAAAATTGCAGCCATTTCAAAATTAAAACCAAATCCGAGTAGAAACTCGAAAATGTAGGTTCTAAAACAGTCCATTACAATTAGGTTCTAACACCATAGAAATCAGAAGAGTCTGAAATCAATATATAAGCAAAAATATCTCAAGAACACACCTGGAAATATATATATGAATGAGTAGTGGTACTGCAGGTCAATCGAATAAAAAAGAACTACGGCCCAGAAGAAATAGCTAAAATTCTGAACTTACCTGCATGTCCTTTGCAAATTCATACTCCTCATCCGTATCGACTTTCACAATCATTGCATTGTTCTCATACTCCACTGCGAGCTGCATTATGAACTCAAACTAGAGATTGACACTTCCAAAAGGCCATAACAACAAGCTGGTTATGAAAAGCTTTGGTTAAAAAGACCACATGTTTTAGGAACAAATGAGGTGGTTAAATATCTGACTGACTGTTAAAGTTAAAAGTTCTTCATAATTTTATTAATATATAACTTGATCTCATTATCTGTTGAAATAAACCTTCTTTCTTTTCAAAAAAATTTGGACCTATAATATCAAGTCTGGCATGAAAACAATTGTAAAGTCTTCCAAGGTAGATCTTAATCTTTTCCCCCCAGGATCAGGTCTGTTCAGCTTTAAACCCTCACTATTTTGTTAAGGGTCGACCTCTCTTCAATGGAAGAATTCGGGAGAGTCAATAGACATTCTGACTAACAATTTCTCATAAATAGTTCTTTTCTGAATGAGTGCCACATAATTTTTGCCTTGTAACTCATATTACATATTTCTGTTGATATCACAGTATGTTACAAGTATGGCCTCCAAAAATATGATTTAATCATGCCCAAGAGAAGCATCGAGCATAATGAAACTTATCTCTTGACCTCCTTGTATGATTCAATCATTTTCACAAACTTGCAAACGCCTAAACTTCCCCAGTTGAAATTAATACAAATCCTTTAGTCAAGAGTCATAACTAAGAAACCGTGTATTGAAACTCATAAAAGTTCATAAATGAGATACAAATTTGCTTTGCGCAAAACTTCACAGAGAAACGGACCTTAAGATTCCTTCACATTTATAACGCGGTGAAGCAAAAAAAAAAATTGTGAGGGAAGGAAAAAAGAAACAACAAACTTGTTAATTGTCAAAGGCCAAGCTGTCTCGTTTGCATTTGAATAATCTTTGGTTTTAAACCCTGGAAGTTGTCTTTGCATCTTACTTCATACCCCTAGTTCATTTGATTTACTAAATTGGATAGCAATGCACATATGGGGAAGCAACATTCAAGAAGCTCTACATGTTCAGCATCAGACTCTTGTCATTCTACCTGTCTATAAATGATGATGCACAAAGAATTATCCTGACTTCTAGGCTTGCATCTCAATGTCTAATTGCACCTACACCAAGGCCAGAGATAGCACTAGATTTCTGTTTTGCAGTCAAGCTTAGATTTATTCAGGCAGCCTCCATATACCATAGGCACAAACACTTGTATTACACAATTCACACCAAAAACTGTGATCAAATACTATGACTATTACCTCAAGGCCAAATCTATTCTTCACTTATTAGATCTTTTTGAAATAAAAAGATAAAAAGTATATTAAATCTATAGCACCAATGGGGTGCAACCCGAATACAAAAGATATTTATAGATAAGTAAGATTATCTATGGCATGTCCAAGATCCTCCACCCTATACATGTCATGGCCCAAAAAGATAGTCAAAATAATGACATCATCAATTCCTAATCTTCGACGTATCACTCTCCACGCCATCAAAAACTCTTTACATATGAAATGTTCTGTGATCATTCCTCTGGGTACACAAAATTGTAAAATTGCATAAACATTGAGAAAAATGAAAAAGAAAAAGGAAAAAAAAGAGCTAAAAAGGATGTAAATAATTCTGAAGAAACATTAACACTACCATCTCAAGTTCTTGAGCCATCAAGATACAGGGTCCACACCATGTTGCGTAGAAATCAATAATTAGCGGCACATTCCTCTCCCCCTTCACCAGATCCTGCACTTCTTGTGCTGACAACTTTTTCTGGTCAAACCAAACAGCATAAGACGTATTAAAACCTCACATTTCAGGAGAAAAACAGAACAGACGATTAGCTAATAGCCAAAGCCCCTCTTAGAATCCCAAACAAAATTTTTCCTTTCTCAGTCTGGGGACAAACTCACTGTACTAATGCTCACAAATTTCACGGAAAACAACATTTTTACCACAAAAACAAAAAGCAATAAGTAGAACGTAGAGGATAACGCAAACCACATTTAATGGGTACTCTGCGAACAAGAAAAAAGTTCATGGCATTTCCCGGGGAAAAAATCAAAAGGAAGAGCTGAAGGCGGAAAATAAAGAAACATACCACAAGATAGTCTTCTCTGACGTACTTGCCGCGAGATGGAGTACAAAACAACCTTCTGGGCTGCGTCGACAGGGAAGAGGGTCTGTTCTGAGTGATGGCAATGGTAGTTTTAGCAGAGAAAAGTGGGTTCTGTTGATGGCTTCTCAAGAAACATCGATACGGTGAGTTCTGTGAAATCTGAAATGGTGAGACATGAAACGAGCAAATGGCTTGCAGCAGCGCCATTTTTTTTTTAGAGAGATTTCTGAATGGGTTTTAGGAGGGGAGAAGGAGAGAAATATTGAAGATATCAATTGGGACTTGTTTGGATGCTGGGGGAATTTTATCCATACGCTGGAAATTAGAATTCTCGTGGAGTATAATCCAAGTTTGGGTTTGGATAACCCTCATATGCTTATCCCCTTTTTGAGTTCCTCTATTTATATAAGAAAAGATATTTATAAATTTATTTTATTATAAGTTAATTAAGCCATCGAAAATTAATTTTTATTTTAATTTAATTTATTATTTCGGAGTAATTGGACAGACCGATAATTTTAATTAATGCTTAGAAGAGTTTCACAAAACACGAGACTTCAAAAAATAATTCACTATTTATTATTTAAAAATAAAAATTTGAGTATAAAATTGTGATAACGAAAGAAAAATAAAATTTTAAAAATTTTTTAAATTTTTTTTAAAAAAATCATAAAATTAAATCAATAATTATAAACGTACGAAAAGAAACGAGTAGCTCGAACTATTATAGGAGCGCTCAACAATATGCGATTATAAATTTAAATTTCGAGTGATCTTTCTTTTTTCACTGTCGAAACTTTTTGAACTATTCGAGAATCAACCTTCACTGTACTATGCTCTTCGATCTTAAATACGATATAGAGCAAAAATCTAACGATATCTCATTGTTTCTACTAGATATGACGACCGACAACTGTTAATCCGTTACGAGAACATAATCAAAACAGCGCTAGAAAAATCTTGTGGGACTGCGCCATAACTCACTTCCCCTCCGACATTAGACTACTTCATTAATTTTTAAATACAACAACATGTATTAATTTTGTGTTAGATATAAAATTCAAAACTAAAATTTGTATTTAATACTGGTATTTACAGTTGAAATGTGGGTCCCGTGCATTGATCCATCAGCCATGACAGTCCCGTGACTTTAACTACCCCCCACCGTACGATCCGTTATTGGCGCTCTCCTTCTTCTCCCATTTTGATCCCCCTCCAGAAACATCACCAAACCCTAACGTTCCCCCCACCCGTGGGATCATGTTCAACGACGACATTGGTCCCGGCCGTCGAATCTCAGGAACGCAGCAATGGTCGAGCAAGTATCGTTGTTGTCCTCTCTAGTCGTTAGCGTTGTCAGATTTTGCAACAGATCTCCGGTTTGCCATGGAACTACCATCGAAGAAAGGCCGAGACTTTTAAGGGTTTTCAAGTGATTTTGGGTTCTTAGTATGTCTGATTTAGTGGTCCGTACTGGTCGGCTTCAGCAACGATACGAGGGTTGTTATCGCCTTGTTGCCGGGTATTGTTAACCACCCCTTACCACTTCTTCTCATATACATACACATGTACATATAACTATATATGCATATATCGATGTCTGTATGTGTCTATGTTCTTGTGGGTTGATTGGCTGCCTTCTGTTGATTATTTGGTGCACATCCTTGGCCTTTTGCATTTGTTTTCTTGCGGTTTTTCCACTGTGAATATGTGCTTATATAAGCCTGAGGTTTATATTTCAGCTGTTTGAATGTGACAATACGGAGATTATTAATACATAACTTGACTCAAAAAATAAGTGATGTTTATACATTGTTTATATAACATACACAAATTGAAGTATACATTGTTATAGATTAGGCTGGAGATAAAACTGATAGGATATCTCCAACATGGGGAGCCTTGGGGTTGAAGTTGTTCGTTGATGTTAACAAGGCTCTTCAAGAGAAGTGACTATGGAGGTTTATGAAGGAGCAAGTAAGCTTTTGGAGGAGAGTGATATGCGCCAAATTCAACATGGAAGGAAGAGGATGGTTCACAAGTTGCCCATCTAGGCTTCATGGCACTAGGATCTAGAAGAACATTTGTGTGGGGAGAGACTCTAGAGTTCCAGGATTATATTAACTGGTGGGTGGAATACGGTGAA